CCCACAACCCCTCCCATCTGGCAACCATCAAAACCCTCTCCATATCCATAATTTTGTCTCTATTCTTCTTGTTCATTTAGTTTGTTTTTTAGATTCAATTGTTAATAGATATGGTTAATTCAATTGTTAATATCTATCAATTATTGATAGATACATATCTATGTATTTATACATATGTATCTATCAACAATTGTAGTAATTGCCATTTTATTTTTTGTAGTTTTGACCTTCTTTTTCTTAAATAAGTCCCTTTAACATTTCATATAATAATGGTTTCGTGATGATGAATTCCTTTAGTTTTTTCTCATCTGGGAAGCCCTTTATCTGCCCTCTGATTGTAAATGATAACTTTGTTGGGTAGAGCAATCTTGGCTATAGGTCCTTGCTTTCCATGACTTTGAATATTTCTTGCCAATCCCTTCTATTTTGCAAAGTTTATTTTGAGAAATCAGCTGACAGTCTTATGGGAACTCCTCAGTGGGTAATTAATTGCTTTTCTCTTGCTGCTTTTAAGATTCTCTCTTTATCTTTAACCTTTGGCATTTTAATTATGATGTGTCTTGGAAAGGGTCTCTTTGCATCCATCTTGTTTGGGATTCTCTGTGCTTCCTGGACTTCCATGTCTATTTCCTTCACCAAATTAGGAAAGTTTTCTTTCATTATTTTTTCAAATAGATTTCTAATTCCTTGCTCTCTTCTCCCTCTGGCACCCCTATGATGTGAATGTTGAAATGTTTGAAGTTGTCACAAAGGCTGCTTATACTATCCTTTTCTTGGATTATTTTTTCTTGTTTTATTCTGATTAGTTGTTTTTTGCCTCCTTACATTCCAAATCATTGATTTGATTCTTGGCTTCATCTACTGTACTGTTGCTTCCCTATAAATTGTTCTTTATTTCAGTTAGAGTATCCTTTGTGACAGACTGGATCTTTTTTATGCTGTTGAGGTCCTCACTAAGTTCCTTGACCACCCTTATAACCAGTGTTTTGAACTCTGCATCTGATAGGTTGCATATCTCCATTTTGTTTTGTTCTTTTTCTAGAGTTTTGATCTATTCTTTCATTTGGGCCATGTTTCTTTGTGTCCTCATTTTGGCAGCTTCCCTGTGTTTGTTTCTATGTATTAGGTAGAGCTATTATGACTCCCTGTCTTGGCCTAATGCAGTAGGTGTTCTATAAGGTCCAGTGGCACAGCCTCCCCTGTCTGCCAAGCTGGGAACTCAAGGTATGTCTTTAGCATGGGCTGAGTACACTGTGCTCTTATAGTTGAGCCTTGGTTTCTGTTGGGGACAATGGGAGGAATTTACCCAGGCCAGTCAGCTGCAAGGTTTGGCTGTCCACTGGGTGTACCAGCCTTAGGGTTTCCTAGGTGGTACAGGCCAAAGCGAGCCCCCACCTGTGTTTTGCCCAGGACTACCCAGCATGAGTTATAAAGCAATCTGATATGGCTGGTATTTGTGCTGAGTTTGGAGATTCCCAGGTGAAGCCATGCTGTGAACTTAGGCTAGCTGAGGCTAGTACCCTGCATGGGACCACTTAGCAAGAGGTACATTGGCTAGGGGACTACCTAGGCTGGCTGTTGCTTGTTTGAAAGGATTTAGGAAGTTGTAAAGCATGAGCTAAGACCAGCCATTCATATGGAAATCCACTGTTAACAGCTATAAGTTGGGGCAGAGGGAGTCTCAGGGGATCTCCAGGGCTGGGCAAACAGTGTCAGCTAGGTTGATAGTCTCAGATAGGGCACATGCCTGCCAACTCTGTGGCTCTGTGGGAGGAGGGTTCAGAAAAGGGACAATGGCCTCTGCCCACCTTTCTGTCTAGGACACAGATGGCAAACACAAGGCCTACAGCCTGAATCTGGCCCTCCACCTTGTTTTATCCAGCCAGCACCTTATTTCCACCTGGCGGCAGTGCTAAGCTCCTTATCCCTAGTTAAGGAGTAGTTACATTTATACAGTCCTAAAATTATATTTGGCCCTTTGAAGGCAACCTCGAGGCTGATGTGGTACCCCGTGAAAATGAGTTTGACATGCCTGGTCTGGGAGAATGCTTTCCATCAGCTCCCACCTTGATGCCAGACACTTCAATTCCTCCCTGTATGATACCCCGGTGCTAGAGCTCAGAGGGACTGAGTAAGGTCATGTGTGGGTTTTTTAAGAACTGCTTGGGATTCCAAAGTTTCTTCCACTAATACAATTCCTGCTGGTTTTGCAGCCAGAGGCTAATCCAGTTATGGGGACATATCTTCCTGGCATTGGAATGCTGGCCTGGGGGGGTCCTGGTGTGTGGCTGGGACTTGTCACTCCCAAGATACCCGTCTCAAATATTTATCCACCACACGTGGATGTGGGACCAGCCTGTTCTGTGCCTCTGCCCCTCCTACCAGCCTGAATGGATGCAGTTTCTTTCCATGGTTGTCAAGATTTCCATTCAACTCGATTTCTGACAGCTCTGAGTGATGGTTGGTCTATAATTTTTTGTAATTTTGATGTGGTTGTGTGAGGAGGTGAGCCATGTTGACCTATGCTGCCATCTTGACAGGAACTAAAAATGTACTATTTTAACCATTTAAAAGTGTGTACTTCAGTGGCAATAAGTACATTCACAATGTTATTTAACCATCACCATTATTTAGTTCCAGAAGTTTTTCATCATTTGAAAATGAAAACCTATACCCATTAAGTAGTCATTCCCCATTCTTCCCTCTCCCCAGCCCTTGGCAACCACTAATTGGTTTACTGTCTCTATGGTTTGCCTATTCTGTGTATTTGATATAAACAAAATCACACAGTGTATAGCCTTTTGTACCTGGCTTCTTTTACTTAGCTTGTTTTCATGGATCATCCATGTTATAGCATTGGAATGCCCTTTTGAAAATTCAATAATTGCTCCATCTGGGTGGCAACACCTTGTGTGGCTAGGATAATATTTCCCAAGTTTTGACATAAGTTCTAAATCTAAATATATATCCATGATTCAGGAATCAAGGTGTATGACTGAGAGTGGATCCTCTCACTTTTACTCACTTTTTAGTGAATCACATACAAAATTCTGCTTACCATTCTTGCAACTTTGGGCTCTCATGGTCCAGAGGTCTTAGTCCCCCAAAAGAATGTTTCCACCAGGTTACATTGCAGGAGTTCAATTAAACTGGAAGTTGAGACTGCTACTTGGCCATTTGGGGATCCTCCTGCTATTTAACCAACATGCACAGAGGGGGACTTCTCTACTGCCTGGGGTGATTGATCTTGACTATTAAGCATTTTTTGAGTTGCTGCTACACAATGGGAAAAGGGAGGAGTATGCCTAGATTGCAGGAAATAATGTAGGGGTGCCCCTTAATAATTAGAACTCACATATTCTGTGATGTGAGTTAATGGAAAACCACAGCCCAATAGAAGTAGAATCTTTAATGGCCCGGATCCTTCAGAAATAAAGGTTTGGGTTGCCCCACAAGGCAAGGAACCACTATCAGCAGAGATGCTTGCTGAAGGCAAAGGGGATATGAAACAGGTAATCAAAGGGGAAGTAGTTATAAATAGTAATTGTAATCATGTTGCCATTTGCAGATACAAACACTGTAATAGTTATTAACATTTTTCCCTCATTTTGCTATGAATATATCTGTGTATTCTATATTAACTAATTATTCCTTCCCTCATCCCCCCAAAATGTGTTAATGGTGGGTGATCTTTTATCTTGGTATTTAAGTTACAGGCCATTGAAAGGGTGCAGTGACTCATCAAAAAGAGGAATGAACATTCCTTAAAGACTCTATTGTCTTTGGAGAAGGAGCTGTTTTGGGTTGTATGAGAGAGTTGCCTCATATGGACATAAGCATGATTTTGCTATGGACTTTTTTGAAAATTAAATACAACTGAAAGTAGTCTGTACGAATGTCAAGTTGACAAGAGTTGGACTGGGGTGGTTTCATACTGTCAACTTAGCTAAGCTGGAACTACATTTCCCAGAATTGTCTTTCTTTTATGATTTTGATTTTTGTTGGCTGTGATAGAAATTTTCAGAAGATTTAAATGGAAGTGAGGCACCAGCCATTACACTTGGAAGGTCAACGCAGGGTCCCAGGCACCATTGTAATTTTGCACATGATCTGCTGACTCACCTCACTGGCAAGGGGTAGCAGCAGGGCCTATAGATCCTCCAGCAGCTATGTTTTGGATTAGGTGTATGTGCAGCAAATCAGTCTCTCTCTCTCTCTCTCCATATATATATATATTCTGTTTTTTTCTGGAGAACACTAGCACTAGTACATTCCCCTGTAAAGAACACTGAAAACCGTTGAAGTTCTGGTCTTGAGATATCCCGTATTGTGGTGGAAATGTATGGCTCTGAGATCACACAGAACAGAGTTTGGTGGCATAAATGATTTATGGTCTTGGAACGATTACTCATCTGTGGAATTAGGATCAAATGTCTGCTTATGTGGCTGTTATGTAGGGTTAAGTTAAACATTGTATATGGAATTCCTATTACAGCTCACAGAGGGTGCACAGCAAATGTTCACTCCCTACTCTGCTGAGGGGAAATACATTGTTTAGTTAGTGCCCTGGATCTTATTAAAAGATTTAATTGAACTGAGTCTCTTAGATACTAAATGAGATAGTTATTTGGCATATATTGTCTGATATAATACCAATACTACTCTGGGTTGTTAGTTGTACCACAGAATCCAAATGTTATTTGAGGTCAGTTCTGTCGCTTATCTGTGTAAGATCTAGGGCAAGTTATGTTTCTTTGAGCCTAGTTTCAATTTAAATACTATTGCTTCAGGATTTTCTTGTTTGTTAGAATAGGAGACAGTGCTAAGCTTAATCTTCAGCATACAGTAGATGCTCAATACATCTACTAGATTTGTGGGAGTTACTAGGTTTTTAAAGATGAGCTGGATCAATTGTTGCACTAAAAGAGAGCTTACTATTTAGTGAAGACAAAAATCCATGAAACTATGGTGAAACTTGTATTTCTTTTAATAGTAGAGAGCAGACAAGTAGACAAATACCAATGGAGGAGATAGAAAGTTTTCAGTGATATTGAAAGAATCAGATGCCGTGGAGAGATGATAAAATATCTTGCAGACGTTTGTTGATTTATGAGATCATGAGCATTTAACACCTGATCTCATTATTAAGGGCTATGCAGTACTTTCCACCTTGCCAGTGGCTAGTCACACAAATAAGTGGAAGGGTGGGTGCCCTGAGAACAGAGACAAATTAACAATTTTGCCAGCAGGGGAGAGGTTGTTCATGCTGACATCCTAGAGGTTGGAATGTATTTGGAACAATGGGTTGCTGCTGAAAAGCTTTGACAGTTTAAGGAGAAATGTGACAAAAGGAACCTGCCAACTTACATATCCAGCTTACAAACCAGATCAACAGTTCTTTACATTCTCATGCTTTCTAAAAATCAAAGCCAACACTTTCCGTAAAAGGGCAAGCAGTGTCCTTTTTCCTTTGTTTTTTAAATATATAATTTTTACTCATTTTTTCCAGCGCATACTCTTTCTCAGTCTAGGTGTTTTCCCGCCACCTCTTCTCCCCCTCCTCATTCTCAGGTCCCCAATTCTCCACTCAGGCCGGGACTGCCCCGGGGCCCGCACCTGCCAGGAAAACTCTCCAGCCCCGGCCCCGCCAGGGGGCTGGGAGTGACGTAGTCGGGAGCGTAGCGCCCGCGCGGCCTGCTGACGTCACTGCCGCAGCGGTCCAGAGCAAAGCCCAAGAATGGGAATTTGAGGAGGGAAAACAAGGTAGTGAGTCCGAGGTCAGGGCTGAGCGATGCGACTGAGTTGGGTGCTTTGGATGTCTGGGGTCGCAAGGCTAGAGTCGCACTGTCGCACAGGCTGAACCCACCCCACACCCTCAGCGCTCTAGAACACCAGAGTTTAGTGATAAGAATGTCCCCACTCGGCGGGGCCTCGTGCGCACGCGCCTTGGGTGGGCAGCAGATTGGGGAGACAGCTGGAGTGGGTGCGGATTGAGGTTAGTAGGGAAGGAGGGCGGTGTGTGGCACGAGGGAAGGTGACACAGCTCCAAAGCGCAGAACAGGAGGAGGACGGTTCGCAACCTCTGCCGCTAACCCGTCTCCACTGGCGCTGCGGCAGCACGGGGCGCGGGGCTTGCGCCGCGGCGTCGTGACGTCACGGAGGTGGCGGCCGTGGTTGGCGCAGGGTCCGCGGCTGCAAAGTGTGAATTACGCTCGGCTCGCGCCACTGGAGGAGTGAAGCCAGGCTCGAGGGGAGGGGAGGGGCAGAACGGCGGCGGCGACCCGAGCTGGTGCTGCTCCCGGTCCTGGCGCACCCTGGATCTTGACGCTGGCTCCAGCTCTCTTTTTTTGCAACACTCCTGCTCTGCTCCTCCCTGCACTAGAGCCCTGGGGCGGTGGGGTTACCTTTCCGACTTTGCCGGTGCTGCCGCTGCTGGCATCCAGGAGCCGGGCGTACGCGGGTCCTGTTAGCTGTATCCGCGGCTGCCTAAGCGCCTTCCCGCCGGCGGCCCGGGTGCAGTGCTTGGGTGGCGGAGGCGTGAGCGCGGCTTCCTGGCCCGGGGTCGGCACCCTCCAGCCCTGCCCCCGCCTCGGCCCGGTGCCCCGCAGCCGCGGCCCCTTCCCAGCACAGGGGCCAGCGGCCGGGGCAGGGCGGGCGTATTCAATGGAAGTATGTTACCAACTGCCGGTGCTGCCCCTGGACAGGCCGGTCCCTCAGCACGTCCTCAGCCGCCGAGGAGCCATCAGCTTCAGCTCCAGCTCCGCGCTCTTCGGCTGCCCCAATCCTCGGCAGCTATCACAGGTAAATTGCCGACGCCGCGGGGGCTCACACTGGGGGCTTCTGTCTTTGTTTCCCTCTTCCCACCTGGCTTCACCCCCGCGACAACTCCAGTCCTCGCCGTTCACCAAGACCTATCGTCGTTCATTGTTTGGGGCTTTCTGGGCTGCCCCTTCTATTTGAGAGCTCTTTTTTTTATCCTCAGGACTGTCCACTCTCAGTTTCTGGCCTCCAGTGGGGCGGGCTCCGGAAACCCTTGACTCTCCCCAGTATCCCCCACCATCCTTGCTTAGAGGTTTAAGCCTCAATAATGACTTTTCCTCTCTCCCTTTCTTGATGTCTCGGCCCGGAACTTGGGCCTCTCCTCCTTAGTTGTGGCCCTAGCACACCTGTGTCCCCCTACACGCGCTCACACACGCACACCTGTGCCGAGTTCGCGCCTCATCTCCCCCAATTCCCGCGCGCCCCGTGGTGCTCAGTTGGTGCTGCGGTTCTCTGAACAATAGACCGGTTCCCTGTTGCTCTTCTCCCGACTCCTTCGATTCTGTAGATGGACCCTAAATGATATCAGAGAAACAAATGTCGAGAGTAGTTTCCCTGAAGCTTCGGTTTCCGCAAAGTTGGTAACCAGGAATCAGTTTTGCTTTTAATTTGATGAGATTTTAGGAGAGAAACTATGATGAGCACTCACAGACTTTGTTTTGAGTGGTCCAATACCAGTTTCTTCTGAGAATTTCGTGGGGTTGTTGTTGTTGTTGTTTTTTGCTGTTGGCCCACTTCTTCGTTCTTGCTGCTTTTGACTGCCAGATTTAAAATAAGGAGGCAAAAAGAATTTTGTTTTGTTTACATTTGAACTGAGTGCTCTCTATTTCTGCTGCCAGAATGTTACATGTTCATGATCACCTTTTAAGTCACGTATATTTATTTTTCCTGTTGGTTAATATTAATTTATTTTAATAACTTTTCTCGCTATAATGTAAATACCTCGAGAGAGGGTCTGTGTGTTGGCGTTTTTTTTTAAACAGGTGGTGTGGAGCACCTGGTAGAGACTTTGCTAATAACAGGTGTGTCTGGTAAATATTTGTCATCTGCTTCTCTGCCTAAGTTGCTTGTACAGAGAGCTAGAGCCTATATTGCGGTTTCTCTCTGAATTGTTTTTATTTAAAATCAGACTTCTTTCATAGGACAAAATGGTGTACGATTAAGGTCAGTGCCAACTTGTAAAAAGTGCTAAGTGACATTTTGAATAGCAGTACATCATTATTTTGAAAGTCCCTGCAGTATCTGCCTTTATAGTATTGCTTAAAGCATTTTTAGGTTGCAAAATGAATGTTGAAGAGGTACTAACACACTGCTGAAAAGGTTTTTAATGGTAGTAATTGAAAGTTTTTAATGCTAGTAACTCTTTTCACTTCTAAATATTAATTTTACTTTCTCAGATCAGCAGGCACATGATTGATACTCATTTCTGGTCCAGTCTAAATAATAAAAGCAATAACTAATAAATTATAAAATCTAAAACATTAATTGTTACTTATGCTCCCTGAGGAGAATGTGAATGAGAAGGGAGATTTCAGGGGAATGCAAACAAGTGAAGCTGATGCCAGGGGTTTTACCTGCTGTCTTAATTAATCCATAGAGACCAATTTTAAGTTGGATTCCTTCTGGACTCATTTCCTAGCCTTAGGTTAATGGGTAATGGAATGTAAGAAATATGATTGTGGCAGTTAAAGCAAATCATGTAGAGTCACATCATATTTAACCCACCCTTAAAACTTTAAGAAAAATTTCTATACCCCAAAGTGAAGTATACTAGAACTTCTGGAAATTTGGACAGAAATGTTCCTGAATTAACACTTTTTTCTAGTCAGCGTTGCTCAACATTAAAATGATGGTAAACTTATTATGATGGTGAAATGGGCATGCTTATCATTACCAAGACTGTATCATTTAATATCAAAATATATGTTGGTAGTGATTTCTTTAGCTAGATGGGAATTTGTAATAGAAGAGGAAAGGTAAAAAATCTTGGAATCTTATTCAGAGATCTATAAAGTATTCAGTTAAAAGCTTTCTTTGTCCTTGGATCTTCAGTTCCTAGGTCTGAAGAAAGCTACAGACATTATAAAAAGTTAAGGTGGTTTGTAGTTTCATTTAAAAGACTTTAAAAAACATCTGTTTCTTTTTGTTTTTGTAGGCACTAAGTATGAGTGTTTTGTATTAGAGCTTTTCTGTTTTAAAATGTCAAAACTAGTAGTTTTTTCAGTTCACCATAATATCGGAGCCTAGCTCATGGTGATACTTTAACAATTGTTGAATGAGTGAATAAGTAATGAAGTTGTCTCTGAGCATCAATTTTAAATATGAAAACAAGGTAAGGACTTTCATCAAGATATTGCAGTAACTTATCCAAAATTTGGTTTGGAACTTGTAGCTATAGATTTTAACAGATTCAGGAGATACAAGACTATGAGCAACCATCTTCAACCTGTGTGTTTTAAGCAGAATTCTGACAAACTTGTTTTCCAAGTAGTAGCAAATTTGAAGTGGGCTAGGAGGCTGCTAGAGTCAGGTTCACACTAATAGCAGCAAAACTTGACAGCTGACACACCAAAAGCCAGGGATCAGGAAAAAAAAAAAGGCAGTAACTTTTACGAAGGCACGCTGGGTATATCGTGTCCAACCTTTTGGTGTCTCTGGGCCCACACACTGGAAGAAGAATTCTCTTGGGCCACACATTAAATACATTGTGACATGTAATTACAAAAAAATCTCATAACATTTTAAGTAAATTTACGATTTTGTATTGGGCCTCAGGTTGGACTTCCCTGGAGAGGCTTGAGTGTTGTACAGTGCAACAATTATTAGTCAAAATAATGTAAATAGAGCCTATTTCTTAAAGTTTAAAGATTTGTACTTTAAAAAAAAATGAAAGATTTCCATGCCAAACAATTCAAGTGTTGATTACTAAATGGACAAGTGTGAATTCTCTGGAAAATTCATTTAAGTGGAACATCAGCTCTCCCAAGGATGCCAAGTAAATGAGGCATTAACTTTTTGTTGTAAACCAGGTCGTGTACTACTTTCTCAAATGGTTAATAGTTTTTTAACTATTTGAAAAATAGAGATAATAAAAGAAACTTGTTTTTGCCACTTTGGGATATCTTGTTGATAGCTGAGTTTAAAGATTTGTCTTGCAGAATAAAGTTCTTATTTGGAAAAAATATTGCGAGAACAGAACTTGTGTTGTTCACCATTGTGTCCACAGTGATTTGCCTACATAGGCACTTAGCAAAGTTTGGAAATTGGGTTAGTATATTAATGGCAAGCCAATGCGCTGCACCTGGGGTTATTGTGGTCCGATTTTCCATACACTGGAAACAAGTCTTACTTGGGTTAAAGTTTGAGGCTTAATTTTTAAAATTTATTATAAGTCTGCAATATGTATCATTACTGAACAAAATATTGGGATCTAACATGTGTTTACATGTGCTTTTAATACCACAGGAAGCTAAATTTGACTTCTAATTTAGCACCTATGTGTTTTTTCCTAATAGCCTGTGTTTTTTTTTTTTTTTAGAGTGGTTCGAAGCTTACAGCACAATTGGGGGGAAGGTACAAAGGTTTTCCAGGTACCCCAAACATGCATAGCCTCCATCGTAATCAGCATCCCCCACCAGAGTGGTACATTTGTTACAATTGCTGTACCTACATTGACATGTCATTATCACCCATAGTCCATAGTTTATATTAGGGTTCACTTTTGGTGTCTTTTTAAAGCAAATACTTCACAGGTATTTATTGAACACTGTCTGTGAATGAGGCTTCTTGAGTTAGGTAACTGAGAGAGGTAAAGAATTGGTGGTTTTTTAAAAAATCACTTGTGAGTCTGCCAACCTAACCAAGTTTTTCTTTATACATAAACATTTTCACATGTAGTTATAGTGTACATCTGTGTTGTCTTTAGCAGTGTCTTAGTACAAGACAAATCACGAAGGTCCTATATGTGCCAGAACAATTCAAAGTCCCTGGATAAAAGTTGGTTCCTCCTTCAAGAATCTTACAGGATTGTGGTGGGGAAAATGGTATGATTATATGTGATGTAATTCTTGCATTGGAGTTATCAAGGTGTGATGAGATTACACAGGTATACCTAAATTTCCTGGGTAAATTAGAGGAAGCTTCAGATAGCTGAAGCTGAACATTACCATAAGTAGGCATTTCCGTTGGGTTGGTCAAAAGTCCATTATGTTTTTCCCTGTACTGTACAATGGCTCTAGTAGTGCTTAGTACTTCATTTGAAACAAGTTCGTTGTTGTATTGTGACAGCTGTAACAGCGTGCATTTAAAAAAAAACTTATTAAAATTGGTGAATTTTTGTGCAGCCATTTTAATATTGAAGATGGAAGAAAATAACATTTTGAGCATATTGTTTCATTATTTCAGTAAAGTTAAAAATGCAACCAAAACACGCGCGTGCGCGCACACACAGACACACACACACACACACACAAAGATTTGTGCAGTGTATGGAGAAGGTGATGTGACCAATTAAGTGTCTCCAAAGTGGTTCGTGAAGTTTCTTGGTACTATTGACATTTTGGCCATATAATTCTTTCCTGTGCGCCTGTTTTATGCATTGGAAGATGTTTAGCAGCACTCGCATGGCTTCTACCCACTGGAAGCCAATATCAGGAAAAAACTACATTTGTAGATGAGCTTTCTAAGCTTTCAGAGCTTCCTTTTGGCTACTGGCAGGTACCCTTCCTAAGGAACCTCTGCACTGATCTTGTGGTTGACATCAGAAATGTCTCCTGCTTAGTTTTGAATAGGAATTCTGATTTACTGCTCTATACCTCCACCTACTGGTAGAGATGGCTCTTTGTTTTTTGAAGATAATAGCTTGAGTGAGGAGAGGATGAAATAGTACAGGGCAGCATTTGGGGGAGAAGTAAATTAATAATTGGATAACTTAGTTTCAGCATAGCCTACTGTATTCCTCGAAGTTTTGAGCAGACCAAACT